CCGGCAGGCAGAACAAGAGGCTGTTGTGGTGCCTGACAGAGCTGCGGATTCTCTGTCGTCCATTCTGTAATGACATCCAGAAGTGCATCTGGTGGTGGCGTCAGAACACCGCCACGTTTCTCATTTAGGTATAGATCGGCCACGGCTACCATAAAATTGGCTGCAAAGTGCGGACCAACCAATGGCAGATGTCGCAATTGCTCAGGAGTTTTGCGCGAGAACGAGATGAAGTCGCTCACTATATTCTGAGCAACCTCCAAGCTCGGCTGCGTTTTGCAGCCAACTTGTTGCATCCATGTGCCAGCCGAGGAGAGCAGTGGGGCTACCGAGCCCGATACCGCAGTACTAATTAGTCTGGATAGGAGCCTAGAACGCTGTGGGGTCAAGTGACTACCAAACAGAGAGAGAAATATCGCATTACGAGTGTCATCCCGGCCAGGCCTTGAAAAATAGTCAATGAGTGCGAGAATCAATTGAAACTCCTGATAGATATTCATTTGGCTGATGCCCCCCACTGTTTGCATTTTACGAACATCTCCATCCTTGGCACGTTCCAGAAAAATGAATTCCGAAATGATTTGCATTGCCAAGTTCTGTTTGTTACGGCTGGCAATGAGAGTTTCTGCAAGTAGACATAAACATTGCATACAATAGCTCCAGGAGGACCCGATATTTTATACCCACCTAATCGAGTTAGTGCCTCAACTGCACACATTGGATACTCAAATTTCCTTAAACTCACTTTACCATCGCCTACAGAAGCCATTTCTGTACAAATTTTAAATACGTTTTCTACAAATGTTGTTTTCGGTCTGCGGTTGTTGTTTTACAGTTCAGTGTACGTTTTTTCCGAACAGCTGATTGACAAATCAAAAATCGTTCAGTTATCGATAACATTGTAAGCGGAATTTTCAAAGTCTCCCTTCGCTACAAAAATTCCGATACATAAGCTTAGAATTAAATCATTCTCAATGCGTTTCGGGTATAAAGAAAGAAAAAAAAAAAAAAAAAAACAATAAATTGGAAAAAGACGGCAATATCATTTATTTTGATCAATGGTAAAAGTGTTTCTTTTTCCTAATGCATTATTACCAATTAATTTATGGTCAAATTTAAATTACATATGTATGTAAATAGCGCTATCATTATTGCATGTATTGATTATAAAATAAAATTGGGGTTTTGTTATATCAGTAATTTGGTTAAACTTTGTTAACAGCAAACACATCAGTTAATGTTGAAACTAAAGTCTGTTTAACGTGGGATGCGACTACGGTCCTAAATCAATAAGTAATTAACAATAAAAAATGTATTAAAAGCCCGCKTGCTCCTATATTCAGTTAAAATTTGAATTATTACCGAACGTATTCAGTCTGATCGATATATTTAACCGAACGCAATGCGAATCGAAAGTTGACAAAGTAGTTAAAATGGCAAATGTTAAACAAAATGATTCGGCACATCTTGAAACTTGATAATAATTAAAAGCCAATACACAATACATAGGCATGTAAATAAATATACATACATATGGGTAATAAAGTTTACAAAAAATACTATTGTTTCTCGAAAAGCTTTGAACAATATCCATACATACGCGCACCTGGGCGTTTGTGTTTGTGTCCGATTATGTGTGAGACAATGTCAATGTACCTTATATAACTTTAATTCTAATTGTAAGTCATGCTGCTCATCCACATGTTTTTTTTTTTTTTTGTAATGGCAGTCTTGTGTTTGTCGCCGTCCCGGCTAACCAATTGCAATTTCCAACTTTCTGCTGGCTGTTGATTGCTGGGACATGCGCACCACATTTAGATCGACATTGGGAGTTTACTTACGACTAATTCAGAGTAATCACGTACCTATTTATGTAGACTTACGCATTAGAGGATTTGAACACACACAAACATAGGAAAATATCTAAAGACTAATCGAAAGGGATGAAACTTAAACTGGATATTATATGATTGAAAGTTGATTGTGGTAAAAAATCGATTGCATATACTTTAGAATTAACAAGTATTCGTTTATAGCTATAGATTCTGACTTTTCTTTTTTGACTAATAAACCCCATTTTCATATTGCAAACCTCTAYTGCGCAGACACCACATAAATAAAACGATAAGCGAATTGCGGGCTTAGGTCATGTTCCAYGAGGACGACGACGAGCTGGATGAACAATCGTCACTCTCTGTCGTTGCATTGCTGCCCGTCGGCTTGGGGCCCCAAATGCGAACGGTGGCATCGTCGCTGGCGCTGGCCAGTAAGGACGGATAGACTGGATTCCAGGACACGCAGTTAACCGTCTTAGTGTGACCGATCAGCTTGGCCAACGGCTCCTCGCGCTTGAGATGCCAAATGTACACAACCTTATCCTCGCTGCCGCTCGCCACGAAGCTCTCGTTAACGCCGCCAAAGCAGGAGTGAATGGCAAAGTTGCTTTGTCGTATGCCCTGAAAACGACGCACCAGACACTTATCCTCGATATCCCATAGATGCAGGCCCTGATTGGACACGTTCAACAAGGCCAAACGATCGGCCGAATTGATGCTAAATGTCATAATTGGATGTGGTTCTCGCAGTATATCAAAGTCCGAGCGTGGGTTATCGAAATTGTAGCTGCAATGTAATTGTAATATTACTAACCAGGATGAGGTTAGATATGTTGATACTCACCCTCTTATACGATAATGATTATCGGCCGCCAATATGGTTTTGTTGTCTGCTCGAAAGGCGACGCTATTCACACGAACACCCTCCCAGGAGTCTATCAAAGTGCCGTTCAGATCGCACAGATATAGCTGACCCTTCTGGCCACCGCAGACAAAATGATTGCCATCACGGCTGAATGTGCCACAGGCCAGGCTATCATCGAGGGATTGCGAGAACTTGACAACCAGCTTGCCATCGTCCACATTCCAGATAAAGAGCTCGTGCGAGTCCTCGGTACCGCCCACTAGAATAAGCTTTGAGTCCGGACTCCAGCTGACGAAGCTAACGTTCAACTGCGCYTGACCGTCGAGCACACGACGATTTTTAAGCGTCAGTTTGTATGGATCTACATCCCAGATGATCACAGTGGAATCTTTGCTRCCGGTRGCCAGCTTRAGGCCATCGGGCGAGAACTTACAGAACCAGACCTCGTCACAATGATCGCTCAGCACTTGTATTGTTTGCATGGGAAAGCCATCTGTGGAGCAACAATGATCCGTCAACAGCGACACCGTCTGCAGATTTGTCTCCCAAGCCATATCGTGAAAGGGGCAGTCTTGGCTCTGCAGCTCCACCGCCTGCTGAAGCAG